CAGACCTACTTGATGCCGGTAAAACGAGAGCTAAGCAGAGAAATCGGTACGGAACAATCTGATACAATTTGAGTGAATAAAGTTCAGGTTGGAAGTGGACATATGAAACAGATTGACTCGTAACATGTTACCCATACCATGTACCATACTGTTCATAGACCCAATGTTTTCTAGAACGAGGTGAGGGCTGGGGTGGGGTGAGGTGGGGTGGTGTGGTGGTACAACGAATAGGACAGGAGTAATGCACAACAACACAGACAATTGTGTGGATGAGCATGTTTGAACGTGACAATCGAGGTGCACCGAGTGTGTCGAGGTCATTTGGTTTGCTGAGGATCGACTAAGACCTAAATGGGGAATACAATGCGGGATCGGGGTCGGACGGGAAAGGGGTAATATTACAATCCAAGTGGATTGTCATGGTGAATTTCCTCAAAATGCTTTGATCTCTACACCTATATGTTGATGTTGTGTATCAAAGATTCTGACAGTAGGAAAAGTGGAAAAAGCAGCTCCTATTAAATTTCTTCTCAGTATGTTTAGATACATTTGGATTTATCCGAAAATTTTGGAAGCATTCGTCACAGATCGCACTTAGTATTTGAATCCACCGGTAAGGACTATCAAATTAGAAATATTAAACTTCGAAGACTAGGAAGGTAATTTTACTCTCCGTTTTTACAACCATTAATCATGCACTTTCGTGCACCGGTTTTGGTCGTTGCTGTCTTTTGGTGCCCCATTTGGATAAGAGAGCAGAATGAAGATTGGAATGTTAAAAGTAAATTCAAGCGGAAGATGACAAATTCATATAGAGTGGTGTTAGAGGATTAATGAGTGAATGCATGAGCGCGACACCCAGTCATATTACTTATTGTCTCTAACCATCGGTAACCATCATCCCGAGGTCCCCAGCCAGGGAGCCTAACGGGGCCTATGTGAACTAGTCTCCTGGTTAGGGTTTTCATACCATCATACCAGGTCTTAGCTTGACCACCCTTGACCTTTTTCCAACCGCTACCTGTTTCGGCAAACATCGCTCACCGTGGCAACCTATCTGGTGACATGTGTAACACATGTCCCAGTGGACGACCGCGAATGCCTAAAACTCTACGCCTAACCTCAGCATAGTTCATCCGGTTACCCCACCAGACTCGTGCAATGCGACGTAGACAGCGGTGTTCGAACACTGATAATGTACTGTTATCCTGTTATTGTAAAGGTCAAGTCTCTGCACCGTAGAGCAGGACTTGCCGAACTACTGCAGCATACACTCAACCCTTCGCGCACAGCCGGATGTCACGACGGCGCCACAGATGTCTCAAGTTGGCAAATGCGAACCGAGCCTTCTGTGTGCGCGCTGACATTTCACCTGTGATGCGTCCGCCAGGTGAGATAGAGCTGACCAGATAGCAAACTTTGTCTATTTCCTCTACTACTTCCCCAGTTAAGGTGAGACTGGGTACTGGACCAACCCAATCTTGAAGTAGCATTTTACACTTTGAAGGTGCAAAACGCATACCGAACATGGAAACACTAGCATTCAAACTATTCGGAAAAGCTTGCAACTTACCTGGATCTTTACTTAGTAGCACATTGTCGTCTGCATGCTCTAGATCAGACAGTCTGCCACCTGGAAGTAAATCAATACCGCTATCATCGCACGAGGATAGGGCTGTTTCAAGAATCGAATCTATCGCGAAGTTAAACAGAAACGGGGAGAGAGGAAGCGTGAGATGAAACACTATCACAGTCTCTTTATATTAGCCGTTACGATAAGAACTCGTCAGTTCTGACATATGTTTCCAATTTTTACTCATGATATTTTCAGAACTTGAATCAGCCCACGTCGAATTCCAGCAAATTCTGGCACAATACGCCCATATCATTCTACCGGGACACATCAAACTGTGCAAACACAAACTTCCTAAACGGACCGGATTGGCTCCCGGGTTCGCATACGTTTAATCCTGTCGACCTGTTGTCCAGTCAGCAATCTGTTAAAGCCGTACCATCCCACGGACTGCACAATACGACCGTACCAGATAGTCAGTCAATTGGGAAAGGTGAAGACCTGGTCGACTTATCAGATGATGCATTCTTGTCCACCAGAATGGTGAGTTTACTACTCGAAGAAGATAACGCGTCAGACCCGATAAAAGAACCACAAAATGGATCGGCAGTTCTAGGTGGAAACAATGCGGACTCGGTTCACACTCTGACAAGCACTAGACCGGTCTCAGTCTTGGAGACAATCGGCACCGAATTGGGAGCACTAAAAGGCAAGTGTGCGGAGTGACTGAAAATTCGGAGATCATCGATTACGGAGAATGAAACCATTTTGACTAATGGAGCATTGATTCCAGCCCACCGCTCTCCCCACACCCGCCCTATCTCTACCCCTCATATCCCATATTTTCCTCGTACTATTATCAGCAGCAGTCCTCAATCTCTATTCAATTCTATCCGAAATTACTCTATTTCCCTCACTTTTC